AGGTGTCATTTCATTTTTTTCAAGCTGACCTTCAGTTTATCAAAGGTTCGAAGCTCACGTCACTGCATCCTGTTTTAGAACTGTACACTGATAGTGATAATTTCCAAAGAGGTAAATGGAAAAATATTTGATGTGCCAGTTCAAATCTAAGTCACATAGGATTTAAACACTGAGAGAATTACCTCAAGAACCTGAAAAATAATTAATAGCGAAGCTTTCAGATCAGGGTGGTCAAAGGAACTTGATTTGACAGATGAAGGACACTTTAAGTGCTTTATTTGGTTTTATTTACTTTCACTTTGTGCTTTTTAAAGCACATCAATCACAGATAACCTGATGCAGTTACAACAGCTGCACTTTTTAAGAAGCTTCCCAGTGTAAAGTACTACAAAACAGACTAATTAAGCATTACCTAAAAAGAAAGTAGAAAGGGAGAGAATATTGACTCCTAGAGTCCATGACAGATTTTCCAGGCTAGCCGGCCGGAAACCATCTCTAGGTTTACTATAAAATATAGCTGCCTTTGATTTGGAATGTAGTCACAGTTACTTTTCATTAGCATGTTTGACTGTTTTTATCTAATTAAACAAGAAGCACAAACTGTGCCGTACAATATTATTAACAGATTCTTTCTTTTTATGAATAAAACTTAGAAAAGCATACTCTTATCTACTTGTGTTGTTAATATTAGCACCAAAAGCAATGAAAATGCCTCTTTTCTGAATTTCGCTGCTGTCTATTATTGAATCGCACTTTAAATCTTAAACCACTTCCTCCATTTAACCCTTTTAACCAATGGATAGTGTGTTTTCGTTCTAAGCAAACTAAACCAAGAAGGACTTCCAGGTAAACAAAGACTGATATAACAACTGCTGACACTCAAAGGAACCGTCTCTGTTTTGTAGAAAGCGGACCCAACAGGGCTGGTTCAAGGGCACCTTAGAAGAACTAAAACAAGCATTTTTTTCCCCCTCACCTTTCCTTGGAGTGATCATAACCACTGTTTTTAGTTCATGACCATTAGAGGATTAGTGAATTTACAGTAAATACAGAATGAGGTTTATTACTCATGCCAGTTCTGTACAATCTCTAATGTAGCACAGTCTGGCTCATGTCAGGAGTTTCAAAATTCTTTCTAAGATCTTATTACTTTGTTGAATGGTTTGATTATATGGTAGCTCGGTTTTTTATTTATTGTGATTACAGTATTATTGGAAAAATAAACTACATTTAGCCCTAATCAAATAGGTTATTTGAATGAAGAGTGTAAATACAGGTCAACAAAAAAAGAATAATCTACCGAATGATGCAACTTAAGCAGCTGCTTGCTATCGTAGACGCACACATATCCACAATGACTTGATTATTGAGCTATATTTGTTTTAGATTTTCATTTTTCTTTCCAATGTTCTCTTTTGATTTAAACATTATTTATCATGTTTAAAGCAAAAGTTTTAAAGCTACAGTGTGTAACTTTTAGCGACATCTAGCGGTCAGACTGCAGACTGCAGCAACATGAACATTTCACCCCCACTGCTT